GCAGTCAGGTAAAGACTGTGGTCTCTAGTTCATATAAAAAAGGAAGTGTTGGGGAACTTATACAGCAATATTTTTCTCCATGTAGTTTTGTAGCACAATACTATTGCCATGTCATATATTTTCTCCAATAAACACCAGGAGCCACCAAATCTAGTGTATCCTAACTTAATTCAAAAATGTTTAAGCATTTTACTCACATTAAACAATGCCGATGTAGGTGTCTTGGTAACCTCTAAAAATGCCTCTCTATTGCATTAGCACATATATGGTACAGGGTGTGCTAGAGCTAAAACCAAAAATTAGGTCAGGATTTGTATACTCTGTGCCTGGGTTTAGTGGTCTTTTGGGGCAAACTAAAGATGCCAAGACTGGAGCATATTCTGGTCCTGACCCAGTGGTGTGGAAATGAGTGAAGCCTTTGTGTGAACACAACACCCAGGTAAGTACCATTGCAAGAATGTGTTCATATTTCTTTCTTTAAAGGTTTACTTTGATCAATTAGTTTGATTGTTTGTTTTTTTTTAATCTTTTTTTTTTTTTTTTTCCTCACTCTTTCTATGTTCACGGTTATCACAGAATTCTAAGACCCCAGTGTGAAATTTTCCATTCCTTGGCTTAGTAAAATTACGCAGTGTTTTCAGGGGTTTCCCTTTCTTATATAAGAGTAAATCTTTTGGGGCAAATAACTTATTTGAAAGTTGATAAATTGGCTTCCGACAAAATGTAATTCTGCCTCTTGTATTGTAAGGTATACACAAATATGTAGCAGGTATGTGTACCATTAAACAGATTTCATTACATACTGCTGCAGAAATCTGTCCCATGCATGATTAGACATATGAATTGCTTCTTCTGAAAAACAAGTTCTTAAACTGTCACAGAAAATGACGTTTGTTATGAAAAGGTTTTCAGAAATGATGTGAATGTCTCATCAGCAATGTGTGGCACCAAGCCAACTGAAAGGAGATCCTGATCTAAGCACTCATTCTCCTTCCCTTGTACAGTCCTGACCAAACATTTTGACAATCACACAACCACAACCACTTGCCCTCCAGAGGATTTCTCCCCCCCCCCCCATTTAATGACCAGGCCTTTTTTTGCTATTTGGCTCTGCACTATTTCAACTGGTAATTGTGTGGTCATGCAATGCTTTACCCAAATGAAATTTCCTTTTAACACAAATAGAGCTTTTCCGGTGGTATTTGATCACCTGTGCGCTTTTTATTTTTTGCGCTATAAACAAGAAAAGACCAAACATTTTGAAAAAAACCCTATTTTTTTTTTATTTCTGGCTATAAAAAATATATAGTAAACTTAAAGTTAGTCATACATTTAGGCTGAGATGTATTCTGCTCCATGTTTTGGGTAAAAAATCCTGATAAGTGTATATTGATTGCTTTGTGTGAAAGTTATAGCATCTACAAACTATGGTATAGATAATGGAATGTACACAGCTTTTACTTTCTGACTGCCTATCACATTTCTTGAGGTGCTAAAATACCAGGACAGAACAAACACCCCCAAATGACCCCTTTTTGGAAAGTGACACCCTAAGCTATCTGTTGAGAGGTATATGGAGTCCATGGAAGATTTTTTTTTTTTTTTTTTTTTTTTTTTCCCCACAGGTTTTTGGGAATTGACAAACTTTTTTTTTTTTTTTTTTTTTACACAAAGTTGTCACTTAAATGATATATTGCTCACACAAGCCATGGGCATATGTGGAATTACACCCCAAAATACATTCTGCTACTTCTACAGAGTATGGGGATACCACATTTTTGGGAGCCTAGCCACATACAGGAGCCTGAAATCCAAGGACCACTTTAAAAGCCTGAAGGTGCGTTACTTCCTCATTTCACTTCCTCAATACCTATCACAGTTTTTTGAAGGCCCTGAAATACCAGGATGGCACCAAACCCCCCAAATGACCCCTTTTTGTGAAGTAGACACACCGAGGAATTTAAAAAGAGGCATGGTGAGTGTTTTACAGATATCATTTTTTTTCTCACAAGGTTTCGAAATTTAAAAAAAGAAAAAATGTTTTTTTGTTTCGGTCTTTATTTTCCAAAAACTTATGGCAACAAACGAGATCTGAAAAATACTCACAATGCTTCTTATCAAATTCCTTGGGGTGTCTACTTTCCAAAAAAAGGTCATTTGGGGGGGTTTGGTGCTATCTTGGCATTTCAGGGCCTCCAAAACTGTGATCGGTAGTCAGGAAGTGTTATAAGGAAATAAAGCCCTTTTAAAAGCCTGGAGGTGCTTATTGGGTTTTGGGGTCCTGTACTTGGCTAGACTGTCAAAAAGTCTCTCTTACATGTGGTATGCCCAGCATTAGAAGTTTATGCCACACATCATTCCCTCTTCTAAACACCTGAAGACCAAGCCTTTTCTGACACTTTTTGTTCACATGAAAAAAAAAAATCAGTATTTTTTGCTAGGAAATTACTTTGCTTTAAAAAATATATATAATGTCTGGGGGTTCAGACACCCTAGTGAATACAATGGTGGGTGCTGCAATTTTTTATGTCACGTAGTATTCGTGCAGCAATTGTGTTTTTTTTTGTTTTTTTTTTTTTTGTTTTTTTTTAACACAAATTTTGAAAAAAAATAATTTTTTTTTAAATTATAATGCACAAAAACACAATATATTGGCCAATTGTTTGGCAACTCATAAAATATGATGCTATGCTGAGTACATAAGTACCAAGCATGACATGCTTTAAAACTGCGCATGCCCCATGCAATGGCTACAAACTGCATATGTTTTTAATATCCATAGGAAACGCTTTAAAAGGCTTTACAAGCTACCATTTTAGATTTATAGAGTAGGTCTAGTGCTAGAATTACTCCCCTTGATCTGACATTCATGGCGATACCTCACATGCATGGCCCAACGGATGTTTACATACTTTGATTTTTTTTTTTTAGTTATTTGTACACTATCGGTACACTTTTTTTTTTTTTTTTTTTAATCACTTTTAATGCTCTCACAGGGAATTCAAATATCCCCTTTAACTTCAATGGGCATTGTCATTTAATCTTTTTTGAGAAATCTGGGGTCTATCAAACTCTAGATATCTCCTCTGTCCTTACATCATCTAATCTCATCAAGATCGGCGTGATCAGATGCTTTCCCAGTTTACAAATGGCGCTGTTTATATCCTGCAAAACTGAAGTGATGAAATGCTCGTAGCTTCTGATTTCTTAGACTATAGAGATGATTGGCACCATTCCGGTCTCCATTCATCTCTATGGTCAGCTGGCCGAAACACCGGCTGCATTCTGAGGTTCCCCCGATGGCACAGGACTGCCCAGGAAGGCAGCGGGGGAGAGGGGGGCATCTTCTCCTGCTGCTTGTAAAAGCAATCCTACAGCTAATTAGCCACTAGGATTACTTTACAAAATGAGGCATCATCCTGGTATAACCACGCAAGTCCTGTGATGTACGAGTACGTCGCTGGTCCTTCTTGGGTGTATATGCTATGTTCTCTTTTTTTTTTTTTTTTTTTTTTTCTTCTTTATGCAGCCTGTGGGCTGAATGAAAAAAGAGAATACATTTTTGCCAGAAAAAGTGTGTGGTATGCCTACCAATAGAATATACCTCCCTGCATCCACCCACTTCTAATGGTGGGCACATATGAAATGTGCTAACAAATATTATAAAATATATATGCCGAAGCATAGGGGCCATCCACCCATTGGCCACCCCACGCCCCCCATGCTTCAGCAGGGGATAGCCTGCAATGAAGTAGGCCAATGAGGAGAGAGTTGCAATAATCAAGGTGAGATATAACAAGGGAGTGAATAAGTTGTTTAGTGGTTTCCGAGGTTAGGAACGGGTGCATCTTAGAGATGTTGCGGAGGTGAAGTCTACACGATTTGGACAGTGATTTGGATTTGGGGGTGAAAGGACAGATGGGAGTCTAGGAGTACACCTAGTACCTTGGCATGGGGGAGGGAATGATGATTGTGTTATTGATCTTGATGGAGAAGTCAGGGAAGAGGGCACGGGCTGGGGGAATACGATGAGCTCCGTTTTGGAAAGATTGAGTTTGAGGAAGTGGAGTGACATCCATGCTGATATGCAGTGGTGTATTTTGGTTTTGTGCTGCCCTAGGCAAGACTAAAATTGGGCATCCTCTGCATCTAAATCTGTCGCACCCCTTCCTGTTTAAGATCCACCCCTTCATCTGTAAACCCCACCTTTTCCTATTTAGGCTCTGCCTCTTCCAATTAGAGCTCTGCCCACTGACGATGGGGCGCTATTTTTCCCACTGACATCAATAATGGGGCACTATTCCTCCCACTGACACCAATGATGGGGTACTATTACTTCCACACTGACACCAGTGATGAGGCACTATTCCTCCCACACTGACACCAATGATGGGGCACTATTCCTCCCACACTGACACCAATGATGGGGCACTATTCCTCCCACACTGACACCAATGATGGGGCACTATTCCTCCCACACTGACACCAATGATGGGGCACTATTCCTCCCACACTGACACCAATGATGGGGCACTATTCCTCCCACACTGACACCAATGATGGGCACTATTCCTCCCACACTGACACCAATGATGGGGCACTATTCCTCCCACACTGACACCAATGATGGGGCACTATTCCTCCCACACTGACACCAATGATGGGGCACTATTCCTCCCACACTGACACCAATGATGGGGCACTATTCCTCCCACACTGACACCAATGATGGGGCACTATTCCTCCCACACTGACACCAATGATGGGGCACTATTCCTCCCACACTGACACCAATGATGGGGCACTATTCCTCCCACACTGACACCAATGATGGGGCACTATTCCTCCCACACTGACACCAATGATGGGGCACTATTCCTCCCACACTGACACCAATGATGGGGTACTATTCCTCCCACACTGACACCAATGATGGGGTACTATTACTTCCACACTGACACCCATGATGGGGCACTATTCCTCCCACACTGACACCAATGATGGGGCACTATTCCTCCCACACTGACACCAATGATGGGGCACTATTCCTCCCACACTGACACCAATGATGGGGCACTATTCCTCCCACACTGACACCAATGATGGGGCACTATTCCTCCCACACTGACACTAATGATGGGGCACTATTCCACACTGACACCAATGATGGGGCACTATTCCTCCCACACTGACACCAGTGATGGGGCACTATTCCTCCCACACTGACACCAATGATGGGGCACTATTCCTCCCACACTGACACCAATGATGGGGCACACCACACTGACACCAATGATGGGGCACTATTCCTCCCACACTGACACCAATGATGGGGCACTATTCCTCCCACACTGGGGGGCACTATTCCTCCCACACTGACACCAATGATGGGGCACTTTCCTCCCACACTGACACCAATGATGGGGCACTATTCCTCCCACACTGACACCAATGATGGGGCACTATTCCTCCCACACTGACACCAATGATGGGGCACTATTCCTCCCACACTGACACCAATGATGGGGCACTATTCCTCCCACACTGACACCAATGATGGGGCACTATTCCTCCCACACTGACACCAATGATGGGGCACTATTCCTCCCACTGACACCAGTGATGGGGCACTATTCCTCCCACACTGACACCAATGATGGGGCACTATTCCTCCCACACTGACACCAATGATGGGGCACTATTCCTCCCACACTGACACCAGTGATGGGCACTATTCCTCCCACACTGACACCAGTGATGGGGCACTATTCCTCCCACACTGTCACCAATGATGGGGCACTATTGCTTCCACACTGACACCAATGATGGGGCACTATTCCTCCCACACTGACAATGATGGGGCACTTCCAACACAATGATGGGGCACTATTCCTCCCACTGACACCAATCAGAGAGAGGAGGGAGGGGGGGGGATAGAGAGAGAAATAGAGGGGGAGAGAGAGAAATAGAGGGGGGGGGGGGAGAGGAGGGAGATGGGGAGATAGGGGAGGTGACTGGAGGCACATATAGAGAAATGCACGGCCCTCTATGTGCCGCCCGGCCCCCTCTCCAGCCGGCTCCATAGCTGACAGGTTCTCTGTCTCCTCGCTGCCGAGCACACACACGAAGCTGCCCCAGCATGCCCCCCTGGCCAAGCAGAGCCTTTTGCAGTGACAGCACTGGTCCCTTCTGCCTGGGGGTGGTGCCGCCCCCCTCAAAAGTGCTGCCCAAGGCAGATGCCTTGTTTGCCTCGCGGCAGATACGCCCCTGCCGATATGTCGCTTATTAGGTTAGTAATGCAAGAGGAGACTGAAGGGGTGAGGGGTAGAAAGAGATTTGTGTGTCATCCGCATAGAGATGGTACTTAAAGCCATGGGAGTTTATCAAGTGACCAAGGGAGGAGGTGTAGATGGAGAAGAGAAGGGGTCCAAGGACATATCCTTGAGGCACCCCTACAGAAAGGAGTGAAGAGGAGTTATAGGTAACGCTGAAGGAGCGCTGCGATAGGTGTATTTACAAAACCGTTGGGGGAAGCCCCGCCGATTAGGTCGCACAGTGCCAAATGTCTAAATAGTGGCACGCTTAAATAAAAATTGTCCACATATAAGTGGTACCCCATATGGAAAAAGGGGGACACCAAGTCCCATACTATCTTGCCACTCCTCCCCATGTAGTCTGGGCATCCCGGGGGTTGCACAAGACTGTCTCTTCCCTCGTAAATCCGAAACTTATATGTATAGCCTGTTGCTCCCTCACAGGTCTTATACACCTTGACCCCATATCTGCCACACTTGCTGGGGAGAAATTGTTCGAATGCAAGGCGGCCAGAAAAATTAAGCCCACCGCAGTCACGCTACAAGTCGCTGACCGCCGCCATTACTAGTTTTTTTTAGCAGACATGTAGTAGAATACATTTTGGCCTCAATTTGACAAAAAATTTTTTTTTTTATGGGACAAAGAGTGAAAAAAAATCTCAAAATTGTGCTTTTTTTTTTTTTTTTTTTTTTTTTTTTTTTTTTTATAGCGAAAAAAATAAAATAAAATGCGCAGGCTATCACATTCCCCCGAAAGAAAGCTCTATTCGTGGGGGAAAAAGGACATACATTCATTTGGGTGCAGTGGTTGCATGACCGCGCAATTGTCAGTTAAAGTAAAGGAGCGCCATAACGCAAAAAATGGCCTGGTCAGGAATGGGGGTAAATTCTCAGGAGGACAAGTGGTTAAAGAATATGTAATCCCAACATTTCATACTACTGACATGTGCCTGCTGTACCATGTACATATATGTACAAGTATCCTGTTCTCTTTATATTGCTTCCTTTGTGTGAAATCCCAGGTGTTCCTGCCAATCCCTCTGCTTTTCTATTACAAACTGACCACACTAAGCAGGAGAGTATGGTGTGCTCAGTTCTTTAGCTCTGCTGGAAACTCAGCCTGCTCTCCTCCAATGATTAGACTTGTCCTGACATGCCCCCCTACACAATCATTCACTGGGAAGATCACTGGGTTTATGCAGCTGAGAACAGATGGAATGTGATCACTTATAAATAAGTGTTTGTATAATGTTTGATTTTGTTTTTTAATTCTATACAGCATATTTCTATTTTAAACTAAATGGGTTGTTTTACAAGGTGAGGGTTTGCATATACTTTAATTTTATAGACCTACAATAAAGTAGAACTGAATAACCAGATTCACCTCCTTAGATTTTAGTGTGGTTCATGGCAAAGTTCTATTGCACACACTGAACATAGTAAGATTCATTCATTCCTACTATAAACAGACATTGTTACTGCAAATATTTCTCCAGATCATGGGAAGTAATCAAAATATGAAATGCCAGTTGAAAAATGTTTGTCCATTGGTTAAGGTCATTCTTTTACATACTCTAGCTCATGTTTATCTCTTATAGATGGGGTATGGCTGAAGTTTATATTTAGCTTGTATGTGTCGGGTTTTGTTTTTTTTCTGTTTGCTGCTTTAGATGTTCTGTTGACCTTTTGACCAGATTACAAATAGTTCTCTTTGCAAGGACAACTGGTGAGAAGGACAGCAGAGGTGACATGGTTCGCTGTATGCAGTATGAATGTTTTAGGTTGTCTGTGCACCAGCTTCGGGAAAACTGCATTAGTGTTTTAGAATGTAACTGTTTTTTTAATGCATTCAACAGACAATATGATCTTCAGATGAAAAATGCCAGATCTAAGCATTGTTCATGAAATGAAGTTAGGTTTATATGTATAGAACATAGTATATAGACATTTTTAATTATGTAGTTAAAATCATTGGCTGCTATGCTTGTTCAGTGTCTTCAAAAGTGAGAAGTGATCCTCCAGTTTATGGTAAGGATGGCAGGCAATGAGAAATGTGCCCATGAACTGCTTACTGCTGGGGCTTACTATGGCTGTTCTTCCAGTATCAGATGACATGCAGTCGGGCCTCAAATAGAGTTTCAAGGACTAATTATTTTTGTGTAGGGGGAAAATAAATCTGCTGTTGAGTGTTCATAAACATTTTCAAACTCATTGGAAAGCAACTGCATCGTCAAAAAAAATTGTTACAGCGGAGTTCCACTCACTCTGTAAAAAAAAAAAATGTCGGCAGCTACAAAAACTGTAGCTGCTGACTTTTAAAAAACAGCCACTCACCTGTCCCACAATCCCATGGTGCCCCCACTGCAGCCCTTTTCACCGGCCATCCTGTATTCCAGGCGCCGGCATCTTCAGTGTTGGCACTCAGCTGTGACAGCTTGCGGCTTCACAGCCGGTGCCCACTGCGCATGCGCGAGTAGTACTGCGCTTCCTGAATGGCCCCATCTGTCGCGGCTCCCACAAGACTACGGGGAGGGAGGGTAGGAGGAAAACTTCCGCTTCCAATCACCTAGGTGATCACAACGGAAGTGGGAGCGGGTACCTGTCAATTTCGGGTACCCGCTCCATAAAGATGCCAATCCTTTATGGGGAGTGGGGGACCAATATTTAAAGCTGAACTTCCCCTTTTGGGTGGAACTCCGCTTTAAGAGAAGTATGGTGTTTGTTAAATCATACTTGCCTGGGTGGGTGCAGCATCAATTCTAAGGGTGAGAACTGAGCGGTCAGACACCGCTGACCTCTCAGTTCTCCCTGCCTCTCTGAGCAGAGATCTATGACTGTCAGTGTGGATTCACACGTGTGGTGTGGTTTGAAACTGTTTTTACAGCTAATTGACACAGTAGTTCAACGGTTCAGTTCAGATCAGGTTCAGGACAGGATTTTAACATGTTCACAACTGATAACGTGCAGTTTAGAAATGGTTCCCATAGAAGTCAATAGCCTGTAATCCGCACCTAGACCAGACTGCACTGATAAGAAATCGGACAGGACTCTTTTTATCTGCACTGCCAGTGCACTGGACATATGTGGACAGGCACCATAGAAAGCAATGTTATTTTATGTGTCATGTGGATTGGTTCAAAGCACCTCCGATCCACATCTATGTGAACCACCACCACTGTCTGCTGTAACCTCCCACCACCAGTGGTCACTGGTGTGCTGGTCTGTTGGAGAGGGTGGTAATGGCTTGCTCAGGCTCTGGGTGGCTTGCTGAGAGGCTGAGCCAGGTGTCGGTCCAGCCATGTAAACTTGGGATCTTTGGCACAACTGGGATCTTTCACCAGCCTGGACTGGCTGAGTGACGTCAGTCGACAGTGGACTTTAACCCGCTGTTGGCAGAAAAACAGGTCACAGGAGTGCAGAACAAACTGAACTCCTGTGAGATCCATAGGAGAAGTACAGCCAAAAGAGCTTTGGCTGTACTTCTCCTTTAATGTTTAATTCCACTTAGTACTTTTTTGTAAAGTTTTTATTTAGCGTATACAAGAGCTTTTATGGCACACCAAACCACCAAGACCTGTGGACTGGTATTGTGTGCACCAGAAAGTAGACACTGTGGAACCAAAAAATTGAAATTAGAAGTCTCACACTAGTTGTTGCAGGCAGATAACTTGGGCTTAGCACAATGGCATTCAGTGTCACCTTAGGCTACTTTAACACTGAGGGGTTTTTGAAGCGTTTTTGCGTTTAAAAAAAAAAAGCATCTTGAAAGTTTTAAGAAAAACACTTCCCTATGTATGTGAATGTATATCTATGTATGTTTTTATGTTTTCTATGTTTGCGCTTGCATTGCGGTGTAAACACTCTTGTTTTTGCAGCATCTTTGGGGCATGTTTGGGTAGTTAGCAAAAAAAACGCCCCAAAACACCTCTCCCCTTTGAAATCAATGGAAAGCGCCTCAAAAACTCCTCTGAGAAGCATTTTTGGTGCAGTGTTTGTCACGTGTCCTTTTATAAACGCTCAGCGCGGCAAAACTGCGGTGAAACCGCCTATGCATTTTTGCTGCGTTTTTTTTTTTTTTTTTTTTTTTTTTTTTTTTTTTTTTTGCAGCGGATCAGTGTGAAAGTAGCCTTATTGATGTGCCACAGTAGGTTTTTATTTGCCACCTGTTTTCCACTGGCAACA